AAAGACAGTCTTTTCAACAAGCCTTGCTGGCTTTCTCCTCCCATAAAGAGTTACGGTCTCAGAAACCCACAGGGGCAGGTCTACCCTCTCCTACAGAGTAGCTGTGGGTCTGCATCGACTCGATGACAGTGGCTTTGGTTTTGGAGGGCTGGGACAAAGGAGCCCTGATGATATAATGATTGGTTATGTACTTGGCTGCTAACCATAAGCAGTTCAAACCCACCAGTCACCCCACAGGAGAAAGAAGAGGCTTTCTGCTTCCATGAACCTTTTCAGCTATGGAAACCCTATTTACAGTCACGATGAGTCAGAATCAGCCCCAAAGCGTGGTTTTGTTTGTTTCTTGAGTGCTCAATTGTCTAGTCACATGCAAAAGAATTAAATTAGACTCTTACTTCAAACAACGATGGTGAGGATGGCACAGGAGCAGGCAGTGTATGATTCTGTTGTCACAGGTCACTGTGAGTCAGAATCGACTCGATGGCACCTAACAGTAATAGTTGTATAAAACTATGTTTGTACATCATAGCAAATTGTGACTAACAATGTGAGTAACAGGAATTCCATAACACTTATTTGTCTTCCACGAAACCTGAGAGACAGAACCTGGTTTAACATCAGGTAAATTGTGCAATGAGCTTGTATCCTATAGTGAAATAAAATTACTTGGTAAGACTCTTCTATCCATGTCTTTGTGACTCCCATCAAATGATTGGATGGGACCGTGAAAATATGATGTGTGAAACACTAATAGAGGGAACTGGTCCGTTTTACCATTCCCCTGGCTTTTAAGTGAGTCATCCAGAAACAGAGAGAAAGGATCCCATGATCATCAAGAAAGAAGAGCCACCATCAAAGTGCATATGAGATTGCTGCCTCAAGTAGCAGAGGCAACAGAGGAACAAGAGGAGTGCATCAAGACCATGAGACAAAACTGAGGAGCCGGTGGGCTTCCTCATCTATGGAATGAGACAGAGGTCAATGGACCATACAGCTGAGAGGCTGAAGACCAGAGGAAGACCTGGCTGTGGGCGTTGTGGAGAAGAGGCATTGCAGGCAAAACTTGTATCTTTGTGATTGTTAGCTTCCCTAATAAACCCCGTGATTACGAGTGTTGTCAGTGGGCTGTGTGTGGCCACTGCAACCGCTTTTGGAGCCCACCAAAGAAGTAGAGTGTTAAGAGCGGGACAGTGGTATCAAAATAAGACAACAAAGGGCAGAGGACAGAACCTGGCTGACCTCGGCCTTGGGCAGCCATGGAGTTATACTCTCCTTCTGTTGTTTGTATCCAGAGGAGCTCAGACATGGCCCGCCATGACATTTTGTCATATCCTTTCACCATACTTATTCAAGCACGGAATGTGAGAAGACAGACTATATGAAGAAGAACATGGCATCAAGACTGGAGAAAGTCTCATAATCTACTAGTAACATGTAGGTTACCCAACAACCTTGCCTGCTGAAAGCAAAGAGGGCTTGGAGCAGTTATCGATGAAATCAAAGCAACCTTCTTATTAGATTATCCCTTAATAAAAGCCAAAGTCATCACAGCTGGACGAATACCCAGCATCAATGCTAAATGGAGAAAATACTGAAGCTGATGGCACCTGACAACAACTTAATGTTTGTTAGCATCTCTGCTCTGAGTGAATTTGATCACACACATGTGTTCTTTGTAAAATGCCATATTTTGTCATTTCCCATGGATTTTTATAATCTTGAAGATGTCTAAATGTGTGTTCAGAATTCTGGAATGATGCCTGATAAATGTAACAGGGAGGAAAGAGCCGTCTCACTGCAACCTGTGGCAGCTGAGCCTTAATAACTCTTTTTCAGTGTATCACGGTGACTCAACCTCACTGACACGTGGCTACATTTGGGGCATCTGCTGTGACATCCCATCCACCCACACGACCTGTTGCATTTTGGTCCATGTTTTGAATTTCTTTACTTGCTTAGTTAAAAATAGACACTAAGTGTAAGCTCTTGATTACTGAATTGAGCAATTTTAAAGATGAGTACTGGAAGCTTTGAAAGCCGGACTCAGTTTGGCTGCGAGAATCTCGCTAGCTGGCAAGCTGAACTCTTCTTCATTAGCCTTGTGGCTGGAAGGAAGTTGCTACCCTGGGAGGCAAAAGTTGTATTTTGAAGATGAGTAACTTTTAAGAATTCCATATATAGTTGTTCACTTGGCTTCTCCATTCACTCTTCACCCCATCCCCTTTTCTGATCTCACTTCCCATTCTCCCTGTCCAAATCCTTATATTTTAAGTATCCATTTTATGGAAGTGGAAGGGGACCTGGCAGCACAAAGGTTAAGTGCTTGGCATTCAAAGTTACCCAGCAGCTCCTCAGATAAAAAGCCCTGTTTCCATAAAGATTACAGCCAAGGAAACCCTTCAGGCGTTCTACTCTGTCACACAGGGTCACAATGAGTCAGAAGAAATTTTGTGGCACCCAGCAACATATGGTTATGTTACCTCCCCAAAAATGATTTTTTTTCAAAGATATGTACTTACGTTTTTTTATAAAACAGCCTTATCAAAATAGAGGAAAGAGCTGGGAGTCAAAGGGCATTTATAAAGGTCTAAATAAAGGCATGTACATACGTAAATATATTTATATATGAGGATGGTGAAATAGATCTATGTGCATATATTTATAGGTTTAGTATTAAGGCAGCATATGGACATTGGGCCTCCACTCAAGTACTCCCTCAATGCAAGAACGCTTTGTTCTATTAAACTAGCATTCCATGATGCTCACCTTCCCAACACGATCACTGAAGACAAAGCAGGTGCATAAGCAAATGTGGTGAAGAAAGTTGATGGTGCCCAGCTATCAAAAGATATAGCACCTGGGGTCTTAAAGGCTTGAAGGTAAACAAGCGGCTATATAGCTCAGAAGCAACAAAGCCCACTTGGAAGAAGCATACCAACTGTGTGATCACGAGGTGCCGAAGGGATCAGTTATCAGGCATCAAAGAACAAAAAATCATATCATTGTGAATGAGGGGGAGTGCAGACTGGGGACCCAAAGCCCATCTGTAGACAATTGGACATCCCCTTACATAAGGGTCTCAAGGAGGAGACGAGCCAGTCAGGGTGCAGTGTAACAACGATGAAACATACAACATTCCTCTAGTTCTTTAATGCTTCTTCTCCCCCAGTATCATGTTCCCAATTCTACCTTACAAATCCAACTAGACCAGAGGATGTACACTGGTACAAATGGGAACTGGAAACACAGGGAATCCAGGACAGATGAACCCTTCTGGACCAGTGTTGAGAGTAGAGATACCAGGAAGGTGGAGCAGAAAGGGGGAATCGTTTACAATGACCTATATATAATCCCCTCCCTGGGGGACAGACAACAGAAAAGTGGGTGGTGGGAGGCATCGGACAGTGTAAGACATGACAAAATAATAATAATTTACAAATTATCCAAGGTTCGTGAGGGTGATGAGGGACAGGAAAAATGAGGAGCTGATACCAAGGGCTCAAGTAGAAAGCAAATGTTTTGAGAATGATGAGGGCAACAAATGTACAAATGTGCCTGACACATGGATGGATGTATGGATTGTGATAAGAGTTGTATGAGCCCCCAATAAAATGACTTAAAGAAATAAACAGAGTCCAAATGCTTCGTAGAATGATGAGATTTGCCTCCAGCACTTTGGACATGTTCTCCAGAGAGACCAGTTCCTGGAGAAGGACATCATGCTTGGCAAAGGAGAGGGTGAGTGAAAAGGAAAAGAAAAAGACCCTCAATTAGAAGATTGACACAGCAGCTGCAATAATGGCTTTGGACATCACTGGGATTGTGAGGATGGAGCAGGACAGGCAGTGTGTCACATTCTGTTGTATGTAGGGTCACTATGAGTCACGCCTGACTGACAGGCCCTAACAACAACATTGAAAAAAGACTGCCCCGAAAAGGTAACTGAACAAGTTGTCCTCTGAAATGCACAAAAGCAGGAAAGAGACAAAGTAAGAGCGAGACTTTTAGAAAAGTAAAATTTAAGCTTAGTTTAGAAGTATAAAACGGATACTCATCAAATAGCCACAAAATGCTAGTGCATTCAGACTGTTATGGACATGAAGAATGAACTGATTTTCCAGTCTGATCAATGGAGTGAAAATGAAGGAAACTGAGAACACGTGAGGTCCGAGCCAGAGGAAACCACGAAGACCGAAAACAAGCAACACCCTTCTTCCGCATTAGCAGCAACAACGGTGGAAGAATTGGGATATACATCCATCTTACTTCCATCTCAAGAACAGGAAAATCCAAACTGACCTCTGGGTTGAAACTTTAAATACCATATAGACTCATGTACAAGCCAAGTTTTTCAGCACATTTTTAATGCAGTTTTTGTGGCAAAATTAGGTGCCTGATATATGGGTTCATGTTGGTCTTATGGGCTTGGGCAGGACTGGGTTGGGATGTTTTCTTGATGTGCACGTAACCTTTATATAAAACTCTCCCTTATACCTGAGTTTCCTGTGATTTGTTTCTCTAATGGACCCTGACTGACACACACCATGTCTCCAGGAGTCAAAATCAACTCAGTGGCAACTTAGAACAGAACTTTGTAATGTTCATCATAAAGATTACCAATGGTTCGGAATCTCAGAACCAACTCTTACAGTGTGTGCTTATCGCCAACAGCCATACAAGAAAACAAGGCAACTAATGAAGGGCCGGGTGCTAAGCACCACAGAGCACATTCTGTGATCCCAACACGCAGGCCACAGTAAAGGTCCACAAGCACAAGGGGGCCTCACAGAGATCATGAAAAAGTGAACTGAAAGATCATGGAATCCTTCCAGGAACTTCTGGAAGCCCCCTTGTAATAGAACTTGAAATATAAAATGACAAAAATTGGACAGAACCAATTGAATCAACACGCAATGAGATCATCATTTAATGAAGCTCTGCTAGAGTCCATTGGTGTGTGCCTGGAAGAAGGGATGTGTTGAATCCGTTCGGGTACATACCCAGATTTCAAGTCAGTAATCCTCAAACAGTTTGTCGCATCCAGTCCCACTTTTCCATTCCGGACCACGCTCGATAGGAATGGGGAGAGTAGAGGAGAAATTCGGTTCAAGGCCACTTCTGGGGACATTTTAACTTGACTTGCTAATCGCCACTGGAAGAGAAGCAAAGAATTGTGGTCAGAGTATCATGAAAATTGGCACAGCACACAGAAGTTTGTCTTGCTTTCATAAATAGTTTGTTTCCTATTTTTATTGCAGTCACTGTTACTCAGCTGTTTGGGACATGGGCTACACCAGGGCCTTTCAGAAACACAGCAGCCCCACAGGAGAAAGATAAGGCTTTCTACTTCTGTAAACAGTTAGTTTCGGAAACCCACAGGGGCAGTTCTACCCTGTCCTACAGGGTCGCGATGAGTCTTCATCAACTTGATGGCAGTGAGTTTACCCAGGTAAAACAATCTTATTTTAATTAGTCTTTGACATTAAGGCACTAATAAAACACAAAGACAAAAGGAAAACCAATCACTTAGAAATGCATGGGCTTGGAGGGGGAAGTGTGTGAATTGCCCTTTATAGGTCTCTAAATTAAAGTCATGGCTTTCAGAGATGAATAAGTCAATTGAAAGGATCATCTTCTTCCTACATCTGAAAGATAATCCCACATCAAAAGCAAATTGACCTCCAGCAAGTCACAATTATAAATAAGTGATGTTATGGTTTTCGTTTTCATTTACAAGGGGGCTTCAAAAAGTCCATGGAAAGATGGAATTGAATGATAACAGAATTTTCCTATGAACTTTTTGATGCCCCTTATTATGCCACGTGAGCATTTACATATCCTTGCTAAAAATAAATGTTGAAAATAATTTGTCGTTTCAGATAGTCATAAAGGAGGAAACTGCAATGATCTTTCAAAGAACAAGAATGAAATATTGACCCTCGCTATTGATGGCACTTATAAGTATTCTGGGGGTGGGGGGTGGGGGGTAAAGTATGAGTCACAGGCTCCTCTTCTGACTAGTTCACCAATGGCATTTCCTCCACCATCCCAAAGTAGGGTGAAAACCTAATGCACTGTATAATCAAGCATAAAGGTGATGCACATTTTTAAAGAACTTCCACAGACATTCTTATGAGCCAAAACAACCAAACCCATTGCCATCAAGTCAATTCTGACTTCTGAGTCGGAATTGTAGGAAGCCTCATCTTTCTCCTGAGGAGCCACTGGCAAGTTTGAACTGCCGACCTTTTGGTGAGCAGTCCAATGCTTAAACCACTAGGGCCTAACCCACAGTCCCGCAAGGACTCCTTATAGTATTATACAGTAGTATACCAGTGCCATCAAATCACTTCCATAGGGACCCTATTTAGGGCTTCCAAGCCTGCAAATCTTTTCAAGAGCAGGCAGTCTCTTTCTCCCTCAGAGCGGCTGGAAAGTTCGCAGTCTGTCACTTACTCCACGGTGCCACCAGGACCCCTTCATATTACTACCCAAACCAAAGCCTACTCCATTGAGTCGTTGCCTCATCACCTCCGAAGTCTTATAGATCCACCTGAAACCTTCTATCGCGATTCCAATCTTTCTTCCACAGAGAGGCTGGTGGGTTTCACCTGGACCGCCAGCTAGCAGCCCACCGTCTAACCCCCAGGGCTCCCGGGCACAAGCTTGGGTTTTAAGACAGGTGATTAGAGTTTCTAATTTACAGGTAATAAGAATTGTTGTTGAGTCCCAGCGAGTCAATTCCAACTCATAGCAACCAGGTAAGAAGAGAAATGCCCCATACGGTTTCCAAGATAGCAGAAAGAAGAGGCTGCCTGCTCTCATAAAGACTTACAAAGCCACAAAAACAACTTTTATAGAGTCACCATGAGTCAGAATCCACTTAGCAGCAGTGGGTCTAGGCTTTGACATCTTTACTGAGGCAAACTGCGACATCTTTCTCATACAGAACAGCTACCAACCACTTGTCCAGGTGGCTACCAACCACTGACTTTTCTATTCCCAGCTGAGAGTTGAACTCCTGTGTCACCAGGGCTTCTTGGATAATATAGGTAACGTAATTTATCTTTGAACAATAGTAATCATTGAACCCAATTTTGCAACATTTCCATCTTTATTTCTACTTAATGTCATAATGCACAGAGTATGCTTTTCCAGATCACATACAAAACACATAAAAAGCAAAGATCTCACACATTACAAAATTATTTCTCAATGTTATTTCCACGATGTTACTATTTTAGCTCTCATTTCTTAAAATAAAAAAAAATTTTAAAGCCGGTCCTGAATATCTACTACCCTGTAATTCCATTTATATTCCCCCAAGTAACAAGGGTTCCCAGTTCATTGTACTGTTCCCATTTTACAGGGAGGTCAGCAAGATTAAGTAATTTGTTCAGGGTCACACATTCAGCAAGCAGAGGGTCAGAGTTTAAATCTAGATCTCTCTCAAATTCCACTACAATTTATTTTCCTTTCTTCTTACTAAGAAAGCATCAAGAGACATTTCCTTTGTTGGTCTTTTTGAGGTTTGTTTTGTGGGGTGGTGGTTTCATTTTGGTTTTGAACTGTACATCTGGGGAATTTTGAACAGAAGTAAAGCCATGAATTCAAACTGATGGCCACTTCACAGCCCAAAGCAAAAAGACTACTGTTGAAGGTAGCCTGAGGGATTCACGCATCAAACACTAACAGGAACAAACCTGTTGGCTGACACTAAACAACTGTTTACGAAGGGTAACTATCAAAGCCAAAACCCAAACTCACAGTCATGGAATTGATGCCAACTGATATTGACCCTATAGGACAGGGGACAGTGCCCCTGTGAGTTTCCAAGACTGTAACTTTTTAGGGTTGTAGATCAGCCCTGTGTTTCTCCCACAGAAAGGCTGGAGATTTCGAACTGCTGACCTTGAGGAACACATCCCAATGCATAACCATAGGGACTATGAGGTATTCTAATTGAGCAACTGTCAAGCTCTTGGAATGACACCCAGGGAATGATCCGCTTGTTTGCATAACAGCCAGACTACTATTTTGACAGTGCAACATTTCATGCCTTCAAATCTGCTTCAACCTTAAGATGTTGTGACTTCTCTAAAGGAAAGGGAAAAAAAAACTTGGACTCCCAAGTCGGGTCATTGCCAAAGCTGATGGTCCTTTGGTGCCATGAACCCAGGACATGGACAAGGAACCTCCCACTAGTATTAACTTCTACACATTGCAGCACTGTAATAAATAGACAAGGCTTAAACCAGACCAGACCCCTTTGAATGTTAAATGGAAAATTTATATTTCCTTGTTTTGAGATATTACACAATGAAAACTCAGAAGCACAATTTTTAGCGAGATGCTGCCCAAAATAGTCACAAACGGTACGTTTCAGGTCTGGGAAATACAAAGACGTCTAAAAACACCATTGAAATTCTTGTAATTAGATAAGATGACAAACACGGAAACAAGTGCCCCGCTGACGTCATGGAACGGAAAGAGGTAGCGTCCTGATGCGTCACTTCAACGTCATACAGCGCACGAGGGAAGTCACACTGGGGAAATAATTTCTCCAAGGAGCAACATCCAAGCGAGATTAAGTCTAAATCGGCACGGACCAAATAATGGCCATCGCACTGCAACGGTCATCAGTAGGACACTCCCCCTTCCTCCCAAATTGTATGAACCCCTTCATCCGCCAGAAGCTGGAGGAGCCCGCGAATAATCAGGGACTGGGAACGAGCCAGATGTGTAGAGAGAAGACTGGCCTTTGGGGCTGGTTTCTAAGGCATTAGCGTGATGGGGGTGAGCAGAACACCTTTGGCACAGGGGGGGGCCTTCTCTACAGGAAGAGGAGGCGAGCCCTCTGGCTGTATTTAAACCACGATCCTCAGCACCAGCTGTGCGCCTCAGGATCCAACCGCCCCGCACCAGCCCCAGTCCAGGTACCTGGAACTTCGTTCGGTAACCGCTGACTACGTGCGTTACAGGTTACCCGAGCGCGCCCCTGACAGACACGCCGACCTGCGCGCGCACCGCGGGCCGGATGCGTGCGCACGCCCGACGTCGCGCCCCGCCCCCTCGGCGGCCCGGGAGCTGAGCAACGTGCGCGCCCCCGCGCCACGCCGAGCCCGCGGTGGGAAAAGGCGTCCCGGCGGCGCCTGAAAGTTCGGTTTCCGCGCCAACCCCGGGGGTGGCGAGGGGCGCAGGTCCTGAAATACCTGCAGGACTCTGTGACGGAAGGCGGGGAGCCGAGGCCATTCCTGGAAGCACAAGGGCAGTTCGTGGGCGGGGGTGTTTCGGGCATTCAGGTGGGCGCCCCGTGTGGACGTCTGAAAGGCCCGCGTCGGTAGCGAGGGTTCGGAGCGGCGTCCGTGGTTACGGGGTCGGGCAAAGGGCGAAGGGCGAAGGTCAGCGTCCAGGTCGGAGCGCACCGCCTGGGTTAACCATGACCGCGTCTGGGGACCCCGGGAAGCAGTGGCAGGAGGAGGTGGCGGCGGTGGTAGTGGTGGGCTCCTGCATGACCGACCTGGTCAGGTTAGTCCGGGGCAGCGGAGCAGCATCTGCGGCTCAGGGGGGCGGGTGGATGGTGCCGCCTGCTTCCTTGGCACTTTGGGCTTTGGGGACGGCGAGTGTGAGCTACAGCCCGCCTTTGAGCTGAATTTGAGTCCGTAATTCTCAAGAAGGGTGGCTGAGAGGTCAGGATCATCCTTGCTATAAACATCTTCGGAGACCCACTCCTATTTTCTCCATCTGGTTACGGACCTCTTTCCCCTGACTGGTCGAGGGACTCTCCACGTTGTTTGACACGATTTTCTTCTTCCGCTTCTGTAGAATGGGCCCACCTGACAAGGTTGTTGGGAGAACTGAATGAAACCTGTAATCTTATCCAAGTGAGAGATTATTCACCGGAACCTTTCTCTAAAGAATAGAGTTCAAAAAGAGGATCAAGTCAGCTTTCACGTTACTGAGAGTGGGGATTGCTGTTATCATTTTTGGCTTCTATTTTAATATTATGGTAGCCATGGATTACTTTATAGCAACCCAAGTGTGAACCAAATTTTTTAAAATTATATTTGCAACCATGAAATAGATAAAATATGCTAAAAGGAAGTAGTTCTTAAGCTGCTGAAAATGGATGAATTGATTGTTCGTTTATCTTCTTTTTCTTCCAACCTGAAGGTGGCTTCCCCCCCCCCCCCCCCCCATTATTAAAATATCTCCTTTGAAAGGAAAAATCAGATGATCAAAAAAATTGTAAAGAAACGCCTACCTATCAGAATACTTCTGTTTAATATTTTAGGGAAAAGCTCTTCGGAAATCTTCTGATTCATCCTTGATTATGGTATTTTGACATCATGAAAATAAAAAATAACCATACTTCAGTTAGGACATCATCTGACTTATCTATAGCACTGAATCTAGAAGAAAGCAAAAAGGCCACGAGACAATCAAAATAAGCCACCAAGCCTCCTGCACTTCACTAAAAAAAATTAGTGCCCATGTCTTTACATGACCAGTTTAATCTTGCTTTTTTTTAAATGTTTATGGGAGGTCATTTAGTTTGCAAACCCAGATTAGAAAGAAACGGACTAAGACTTTACTGAAAGTGTCTACAGGCCATAGCTTAATGACTCCTAAGGCCTCACTGCCTGACAACTTAACATAGTAACTGATGTGATAGCAATTACTCTTTTCATGGAAAGGTAATATAGTACTTTTTAAGTACTTTATATAAAAACAGGGCATGTGTTTCATTTTAGAAATAGTCTTATCCAAAGTATTTAAAACAAAATTTTAGTTACATAAAGTAATACTAGACCTTCATAAAGCTAAATAATTCATTCTTTGAAAAATCCATGTAGCTAAGTTTTTATAGCACTTTTACTGTATTTTTTTAACTTTCTACTATATTTATTTACAAAGATAAAAGCAAAGAGATTTATTGGAGATTCAGAACAGTTCAAATAGGGGATACATCTATTCTCACAAAATGAAATCAAATGCTTCAAAACAGTGGAGTATTTATGAGTAATATCAAGAATTAAAAGCGCAGCATTCTTGGAAGGCAGGGGCAGGACAACTTGAAGTGGGGGGAGGGGGGCTTTACAGTGATTCGCTGGAAACCCAAATAAGGGTTCATATTGCTTAGGTTAAGTATGTGACTAAAGGGAATTTACAGGGTGATCACAAGGTAATTGCATATCTTAAAACATTTCCTGGGGACAAGTGAGGAAATTTCGGTGTCAAGGGTCTGTGCCAAGCCCAGTGTTCAGGAGGGTTCTTTCCATGTCTTTAAGTTCACAGAGAAAAACATTTACTTGATGATGTGCTTTAAATCTAAGGATTTGAAAGTTGCAAATAAGTCCTTTGATGTGTACTTTAAGCATTTTTTAACAGTTTGATTGACCTATAATTCATACATCATACAATTCAGTAGTTTAAACACATTAGAAAGAGTTGTACAATCATCATCCCAATAAATTTTAGAACGTTTTCTTTCTTCTTGTCCACATTGTTATTAGCTCCCTATTTTCCCCTAATCTCCCATGCCATAGCCCCAAGAAATTAGTAGTCAGTTACTGTCTCTGTAGATTTTCCTATCCTGAATTTCACATAAAGAAAAACACCCGCCAAAACAGCAACAGTAACAAAGTAAAACCTCAATTGAAAAGAAAACAAGAAAATGAAAACTAACAAATTTAAAGTGGGTGAAAAGGGAGAACAAATGATAAGGTTATAAATTTTAAAGACATCTGTATCACTGATAAGGTTATTCACATCCCTGGTCAATGGTCAGAAGGAATTCGCCAGAGGCCTAATCCTCCTGGAGGGCAGTTTGGGGCTTTCTCTGTTTCCCTTTCCAGAGGCCCTGGGGAAAACCGGTTTCCTTGCGTTTTCTCATGTCTAGAAGCTGCCAGCATCCCATAACTCCTGGCCCACCCTCCCATCGTCAAAGCCAGCACTGGCCAATCGAGTCTGTCTCATATTGATTCACTCTCTTCACTCTTCTGCCTTCCTCTTCCACATTGCAAGGATTACGTTGTGCCCACCAAGGTAATTTAAAGTGAAAATCACATGAAGTCAGCTATTAGCGCTCTTCATTCCCCGTTAACCATGTGACGTAGCATTCACAGGTTCCAGAGGTTTGGATGTGGACCCCAGCCCGTGTGATCCCATGTATGTCAGCGTGGTTCTGTGCTTCACAGGGTCTCTAATGACTTATTTTTCACAAAAAGCACCAGGCCTTTCTTCCAAGGCGCTTTCCAAGGCGAGACCCCCCCAACCTTTCAGTTAGCCACTCAGTGTACCGTTTTCGCCAGCAGGGTACAATTTGAGGGACCATTATCCTGCCAACTACCAATGATAACCCGTAGCAAACGAGATAAAACCTCAGAGCTGGAAGGAGCTTTGCAGTCCACCAAGCCACCCTCCACTTTCTACAGATGAAGTAACCGTGGTTAACTGAATCGCCAGTTCACACAGCCATTCAGTTGTGTAGTGACGGCTGGGATTCGGGCCTCCCATTCCTTCTCTTTCCGTGAAGCCACCCTGCCTCTCACACTGATGGCACAGCAGGCTGAGCATCGGGCTTTTGACTGCAAGGTCAGCCTTTCAAACTCGCCAGCCACTCTGCGGGAGAAAGTTAAAGCAGTCTGCTCCCAGAAAGATGGACAGCCTCAGAAACGCTAACAACCCTGGCTACTCCTGTAAAGAGTTACAGACTTGGAAACTCAGAGTCGGAAGGGACTCAGTGGCAGTGGGAGTTTTTGCTTCTCACTCAGACTAGTATTAATTTCCTTTTTTT